ACTGAGACAGTGGAGCTGATCTATTGAGAGCTCACCAAGACCAGCTGGACTGTGACTGAAAAAGCATGGGATAAAACTGGACTCTCTGAACATGGCGAACAATGAGGGCTGATGAGACGCAAAGGACAATGGCACGGGGGTTTGATCCTACGTAATGTGATGGCTTTGTGGGAGCCTAGCCAGTTTCGATGTTCACCTTCCTAGATATGGACGGAGGTGGGAGGTCCTAGGTCTTACCACAGGGCAGAAAACCCTGACTGCTCTTTGGACTGGAGAGGGAGGGGGAAAGGAGTGGGGGGAGGGGGAGAAAGGTGGGAGGAGGGGGCGTAGGGTGGGAGGAGGGGGAGGGAAATGAGAGGCTGGGAGGAGGTGGAAACTTGTTTTTTTTTGTTTTTTTTCTCTCCTTTTCTCAATTAAAAAAAAAGAAAAAAAAGATTGTAGTCATATTAGTTAGATTTTCTAGATGTATGAAGATATATTTCAATTAGATAGGTAGTCTTCAACACTTTCAGAGACCTTCAGAACATGGCATTTAAAAATGTTTAAGAATTTAGGACTTTTCATGGTAATGAGACACATCTGCTCCTGGCAGCATCAGTTACTTCAAAAGGAAGATGAGCGTTGAAGAGGCTTCTTAGCCATTTGGGCAAGAAACTGCTCTTGCCTGGACTGCTTAACTGGATATGCAGGACACACAGAGAAATGACTACTGAACTTGCCTAAAGATGAGATGATCCTTCAGGAAAGTCTGCCAGACATTCTGCAGGATACAGAAAAAAGTGACTGAACTGTCTTTGAATTTCCTGCTTCATGGAAAAGTCTTCTAGATACTATGGACCTGTAGGCCGAAGATGGATGTCCCAACAGTACAAAACAACTTTGGATGACTGTCCAGGCAGCGAGATGTCTCTGTCATTTCTAGAGTTTTGGAAGTTGCTTACAATGCACTTCCTGTTTACTTAGGTAATATTATATCCTTCTGGAGTTTTTGATGGTGTTGAAGAATAGATAGTTATAGTTTTCCTTAGTTAGGATAAAAGATAAAGTAGAAATAAATATTGTAAATAACTGTAATTCTTCCTTGATACCTGTTTTGTTATACGTAATTTTACTATGTTAAAGTTAAAGCCTTCCTTTTTATTCAAACAGAAAGGGAGAGGTGAACTGGGAGTCTCCTCTGTGTGCTAATATTACTATTAATTAATAAAGAAACTGCCTTGGCCTGTTGATAGGGAAGAACTTAGGTAGGCAGGAAACACAGAACTGAGTGCTGGGAGGAAGAAGGGTGGAGTCAGAAAGACACCATGGACCTTCTGCCACCAGAGATAGATGTGCTGAAACTTTGCTGGTAGGCTACTACCTTGTGGTGATGCACAGATTAATTGAGATGGGTTAAATTAAGATGTAGAAGTTAGCCAATAAGAAGTTAGAGTTAATGGGTCAAGCAGTGATTTAATTAATACAGGTTCTGTGTGGTCATTTTGGCTCTGGGCAGCTGGGACAAACAAGTGGCCCCTTGTAATAGCTAATGACATTCTGCTATACATATATATCTGTCTTACTCAGTCATCATCAGAGAAACTTCTGTCTGCAGTGGATGGGAACAAATAAAGAACTCACAACTGTACAGTGTACACAGAGTAAGAAGCCTTGGAATACACAGTCCTAAAAGGGATGTCTTTATCAAACCTCTCCACTCAGGGCTCAAGGAATATGTTGAAGAGGAGGCAGAGAGATTGTGAGAGCCACAAGGGAGGGAGGACGCCAAGGAAACAGTGACTTCAAGATACAACAACTGACACACATATGATCTCACAGAGGCTGTGGCAGCATGGACAGGACCTATACAAAGTCCCAGTCAGATATGAATCCATCACTGAGAGGACAAAGTGGACATGATCACCCACCCCTAACGAAGAAACTATCTCCAACTGACAACAGCTTGCAACGGAAAAATTAGTTTTCTCCAATACAGTCTCATTGGGTATATAGACCATGTTTGAGGACAGGCCCCATGCCCAGCAGTAGACAGCCAACACTAAATTGGTGTGGGAAGTCCTTCTACATATGTGTTGCTCTTATTGGTTAATAAAGAAGCTGCTTTCGACAATGGCTTAACAGAGTATAGCCAGGGAGAGAGAGAGAGAGAGAGAGAGAGAGAGAGAGAGAGAGAGAGAGAGAGAGAGAGAGAGAGAGAGAGAGAGAGAGAGAAGCCACCCATAGGAGACAGGCACTGCACTAGAACCTTGCCAGTAAGCCACAATCACATGGTGATACACAGATTAATAGAAATGGGTAAATTTAAGATATAAGAGTTAGCCAGAAATATGCTTAAGCTATTGGCCAAACACTATTACAAATACTATGTTTCTGTATGATTATTTCAGGTCTGAGCTGCAGGTAATGAATGAACAGCCTCCCTCAACAAATCGGCATGCCAACATGGTTGACTATATCCACATAAAACCTGAGAAAGCTTAAAAGGAATTCTAGACACAAAATAGAGTTAAGCATGGCATTTTGTAGTAGCATCTTCTTGGGTGGACTCTGTTTGCTAGAAGGAAGCTGAGGCATGATTCTTTTCGGAGAAGGCTTCCTGACTCAGCAGTAGCAGCAAAACCTGCATGGCTTCTTTAAAAAGGCTTCCTGGTTTGTGCTAGTTGCAAGAAAAGCTCTGACTCTTTTGGGAGGTCTGGCTACAGAGAATTTAAATGGGGTTTGTGGGCAGAGTACTATAACGTGCTTAATGGCAACAGAGAACTACTGTAACCTGACCCTGGATCTGGGGCAGAGAGAATGGCTTCAGAGGAGTGAGCATGCCTCTGCCATGTTGGACTGGGCAGAGCCAACAAGCAGTGCCAAGGAGTTGGTCCTAGCCACACCTGCTATTTGTAATTTTTCTATGTTAAAGTTAAAACCTTCCTTTTTATTTAGACAGAAAAAGGGAGGTGATGTATGCTGTGAATATGTTTTATTGCCATTGGTTAATAAAGAGGCTGCTTTTGGCCATTGGATTAACAGAATATAGCCAGGCTGGAAGATATATATCGAGAGAGAGAGAGAGAGAGAGAGAGAGAGAGAGAGAGAGAGAGAGAGAGAGAGAGAGACCATTTTTCTTAGGAAGAATTTAGGTTTTAAAAGTCATAAATATGAAACAGTGTTCATAACAGAAAAGTAGCCATGAAAGAGTAATGTGGATAATGCATGTATGCTACACATGCATTCTACCTACTGAGCTACAGCTTTAGAACCTCGGGGTAGTATTTTAATCCAATTCTCAAAGTTAAGTAGCAGCAGAACAGGAATGGAAATTCAAATATGTTTATTTAATCCAGGTCATCTTCCCAATTAATTTTGTTTCTAAAATCAGACTAGTGATAAAATCAGCTCTAAGTGACATAACGTACCTTCATAAGGAAATGTAGAAAAAAAGAGACTTGTATATACTATTAGTGGAATATAGATTGCATGGCCATCTTGGAAAACAGAATAATAGTTCCTCAAAATCTTAAACTACTATTTGACTGAGTAATTTCACTATGAGTTATACATTCCAAGGAAATGAAAATATTATTTTAAAGAGACATAGGTACTTTCACACTGATTGAATATTCAGGAGAGCCATGAAATAGAAACAACTTTGGTGTCTATCAACCATTGATCAGAAGAAGACCTGTTTATCAACCAATGATTAGAAGAAGACCATGTACTACATACAAAATACTATTTATTCCACCCAAAGAATAAAATTCTATTGTTTATCACAAGATGGGTGGAATACAAAATAATAAGTGAAATAAGCTAGGCAGAGAAAGTCAGGTACTGTATAATATCAGTTATATATGCAAATTGAGGATAGAAAAATGGTTATCAGAGACTGAATAAGATTGAGTTACAGAAAAGGTTGATAAATTAGTATTAAATAACAGTAAGGCTGGAGCAAGAATTTCTGGTGTGCTATAGCACAAAGAAGTAACTATAGCAACAGTAATGTATTATTTACTTATTTTTTCTTTTCTTTCTTTTTTTATATACCTTTTTTTCCGTTTATTTATTTATTAAAGATTTCTGTCTCTTCCCCGCCACCGCCTCCCATTTCCCTCCCCCTCCCCCAATCAAGTCCCCCTCCCTCATCAGCCCAAAGAGCAATCAGGGCTCCCTGCCCTGTGGGAAGTCAAGGACCACCCACCTCCATCCAGGTCTAGTAAGGTGAGCATCCAAACTGCCTAGGCTCCCACAAAGCCAGTACATGCAGTAGGATCAAAAACCCATTGCCATTGTTCTCGAGTTCTCAGTAGTCCTCATTGTCCGCTATGTTCAGCAAGTCCGGTTTTATCCCAGGCTTTTTCAGACCCAGGCCAGCTGGCCTTGGTGAGTTCCCAATAGAACATGCCCATTGTCTAAACACTAAAAGGGTTTTCCAATTTTAGATCATTAATATATCAATGTTTGTATATATATATATATATATATATATATATGGACATTGATTTAAACATTAAACAATTCATGTAGCAGTATCATACTATCCAAATACTATGTACTTTTAAAGTTTAATGTTATTAATAAGAGCATTAGGAAACATGTAGAAACAGGCTCTAGATTCTACATGTGTGATCCAATAAAATAATTAGAATTCCAAAGTACGCTAGGTGCTAGGTAACATTATCCTCTAAAACATTCCCCAGAATCCTTGGGCAGAGCAGTAGCAAGCTGCCTGCCTGCTTCCTTCCCTCTGTACTCACACAAGGTAAGAGATTTATATTCATAAAGCCATTACATTTTGAAAGCAAGTCATTTGTTGCTTTGAGACAGGTTCCCACTATGTAACTCAGGCTGACCTGGAATTTACTCCATAGACAGGTTAGTCTTGACTTCATAGAAATCTTCCTTCAGTTCCCAAGCACTAGGAAGCTGAGTGATTGGATTAAAAGTATGTGTCACTACAGCCAGATCAAGTCATTTTAAGAAACCATTTTAAGTAAAGAAATGATTCTTACCTGTGGTGTTGTTAGGGTTGTAGTGCTACTCATTGTATCTTCCATTTGTTGTGTTTGAACATCCAATGTTTCAAATTGATGTTCGAATTTGTCCATTAAGGCAGAAATCTATAAAGATATGATCATAAGAAAAATGTACCCTGAAAAGATGCTATCTGAACATCAAGTAATAATGATAATTGTTTGTTTTTACCTTTTCAAGGTTCATACTCCTCAATGTAGCATCCATAGATTTAACTACACCTGCCATGGATTTTGTCACCTATTTAGAAAATAAAACTGATTTAGTAACATGAAAATTTTATAAATTTTTAAATATATTATCTCTATGTCAACTTAGGAAACTTGTCTATTACTGTCTTTTTTTAAATTTATTTATTTATTAAAGATTACTGCCTCCTCCCCGCCACCGCCTCCCATTTCCCTCCCCCTCCCCCAATCAAGTCCCCCTCCCTCATCAGCTAGAAGAGCAATCAGGGTTCCCTGACCTGTGGGAAGTCCAAGGACCACCCACCTCCATCCAGGTCTAGTAAGGTGAGCATCCAAACTGCCTAGGCTCCCCCAAAGCCAGTACGTCCAGTAGGATCAGAAACCCATTGCCATTGTTCTGGACTTCTCAGCAGTCCTCATTGTCTGCTATGTTCAGCAAGTCCGGTTTTATCCCAGGCTTTTTCAGACCCAGGCCAGCTGGCCTTAGTGGGTTCCCGATAGAACATCCCCATTGTCTCAGTGTGTGGGTGCACCCCTCGTGGTCCTGAGTTCCTTGCTCGTGCTCTCTCTCCTTCTGCTCCTGATTTGGACCATGAGATTTCTATTACTGTCTTTAACAGTAAAATCACATTCTGTGTCTAGGTCTAGGAACTGTCTATTTTAGATTATTGATACTTCTTAGTATTCAGCAAATAAAAGAGTTGATAAGTCCTCTGCCAAAATCTTTTTCCTTACTAAGTCTAATTTTCCATGAAGTCCTTTATTAACACCATATAATACCTTGCAATACTCAAATTTGCTATTTTTGTAAGTCTTCCTACTCTCATTAAATACCAGTCAAGTCTTACCTTGCCCATTGTTACTGCAGTTTGAACTCTGGCTGCCACAGCATCAACCCTAGCACTCATTCTCAAGAAATTGATTGCCTGGTTTTTCTGACGGATTGCATTTTCAGCATGAATTCTTGCAACTTCTGTATTGCCTTTCTGAATGGCCTGTTTTAAGCAGAAGTAAAATAGTGTTGAAGAAAAATAGCAAACCAAGATACTTGTGAAGTCAAAGAGCAAAAGTATAGCTATTTTTAAAAATTAAATGCTACTAAATTAACTATAGTCTATAAGAGGTTGTAATTAGCCTTTTGGCAGCTAATTATTATAGTAGCTAAATAATAATTTACAATCCTATTCTCTTTTAATCTCATGATTAGAAAATACACATGTATTAATAGTTTAAGAAATTGGAAAATGCTGGACATGGCACATGCTTTTAATCCTAGCATTTGGGATGCAGAGGAAAGCTAATTCTGAGTTTGAGACCAGCCTTGTCTACATAGCAAGTTCCAGGCAAGCCAGGGCTACACAGTGAGACTTTGCCTAAAAAATACAATAGAAAGAAACTAAAAGGTAAAAGTGTTCCTAGTTATATTATGATGCTATTTTCATTGTTATTATTTTAGTACAAATGATCTTAATATATAAATACATTTATTACTGTATAGTTTATAACCAAAGCAAACACATAGAATATAGTTTCAAATCTTGTTTTCTTTCATGCTAAAAATATCACTTTAAGCTAAAAGCATACTTATCTACATCATTGTTTCCTAAGGGTTGCATCATACAAAGGTCACTGTAGTAAAAGAATTATTAGTCATACATAAAATTATTCTAGAAGTTACACAGACATTAGGTAGTTTCTATATGATTTTACTGAATAGGCATATGAAAGTGCTGTGTAACAGGAATCCAGCCTTTTCCTGGTATAACAATCAGATCAGGTATACAGCTAAAAGAAAATTAATTTAAAGAAAAAAAGCATTAAATAAATAGTTCAGGAAAAAAACAAAGTGAAATATTAGAGAAACTACAGAAATTCAAGAGTGAGATCCTAATTTTTCAATAAAATAAATAGCAATTTAAAAACTCTCCTAGTATATATAACTTTACACACTTTCCAAATGCTTCTATAAGACAAATACCTGGATATTGATTACTGGATGTAGATGTATATTTAAATTTAATTAGATTCCCTATGATGCTTATAATAAGTTTTGCCTTCCAGAATAGTGCTATTGCTTTATTCACAGGTAATCAACATAGGCATATTATTATTGTAGTCCATTATGATCTAAGAAGTAAAATGTAGTATCTCTCCATGAGATGGAACGCATATCTCACATTGCTTGGGTAACCAAGAACCTGAGAATAGATAGGCCGATGACCTAGGAGAAAACCAAATACTACTAGAGGAATGTAGCAATAAAATGTCTGCCAATAATATTCTGCTATAATCATTAATCAGTGCCTTGCCCAGCTGATGGAGGAAGGTCATTGGCTAATAAAGGAACTGCCTTGGCCCATTTTATTGGTTAGAAGATAGGTGGGAGGAGTAAACAGAACAGAACACTGGGAGGAAGAGGAAGTGAGGTCAGACTCGACAGCTCTCCTCTCGGGAGCAGACGCCTCAGAGAGACGCCATGCCCCGCTCCCGGGATGAAGCTCCGACCCAGGACGGACATAGGCTAGAATCTTCCTGGTAAGACCGGTTCTCACAGATTATTAGAGATGGGTTGATCGGGATGTCAGAATTAGCCTGTAAGTGCTAGAGCTAAAGGGCCAAGCAGTGTTTAAAAGAATACAGTGTCCGTGTAATTATTTCTGGGCATAAGCTAGCCGAGCAGGCGGCCGGGGTGCTGGTAACACAGCCCCGCCGCCCCTATTTACAACAGAATGGCGCCCACGTGGACAACTGAATCCACAGAATGCCTGAAAAAGCTTGGGAAAGAGTAAAGCATGTTTTCTTGATAGTGACAATTTCTCGGATCTACTCTGCTTGCTAGAGGCGAGCAAGCACCTCATCTAAGAGAGGCTTCCTGACTCAGCTTTAGCTGCAAAGCCTGCAGCTCATTAAGAGGTCCTGCCACGAAACACTTAAACGGTGTTGACGAAAAGCTGAAACACATGCTTTTTGGTTTTCAGCCGTAGCAGGAAAAAAGCTGTGCCGTTTAAAAATGCCGGCTTTCTGGGCTGTCCTGCCAGGGCAAACTCTGACTTTTACGCAGGTGGTTCGTGCGGTTTGCAAGCACAGGCTGCTGAATCTTGCTTGCTGGCAGGGACCTTGAAATGCCATAGAGTTGTGGCAGTAAACATGCCTACAGCCGGTACCTCAGCCATGAGGCTGGAAAGCTAAGGAATGGACTGGATCTAGCTGGCAAAGCCACACCTTTAATCCTACCCATATTGCTCAGTAAATTAAAGACTCATGTGGTCAGAAAAAGAGAGATATACAGTAAAGAGAGATTCAAAGACAGAGAAAATTTCTGAATGGTTTAAAGTGTGTTAAAAATATATGCAGACTAAAAGTTGAAGTTCTCAAAGTAAAAAACAAAAAAAGGAAGAGAGTTGTTGTGTGTGGTACACAACTTTAATCCCAACACTTGGTAGGCAGAGGGAGATAGACCTCTGTGACTTCAAGGTGTGGTAGCACTCGCCTTTAATCCCAATGCCTGGGAGGCAGAGACAGGTGGATCTCTGAGAGTTGAAAGACAGCCTGGTCTACAGAGTTACTTCAGGTCAAAGATACAGAGAACCTGTCTCAAAAAGCAAAGAGTTAAAAGTAAAAATAAACAAAATAGAGGTTAAAACAAAGCTGCACAAAGATGGAAAATGAACAGAGAATTTTGATACTGTATGCTATTATGCTCTCTTTGAATTGTTTGAATGCTGAGGAAGGAGCAACAGATGCTAAAGGATATTTATTTATAAATGCTGCTGAACTAATCCAACATAGATATTTTGATGCCTTGACTTTGAAATTTGGATCTAAGGACATGATACTTTGGAAAGGAGTTTCTTATTTTGTTTTCACAGAGGGTGAGAGTCTGTGGATTGCTTCCATCCCAATGTGGTATGATAGACCACGTCCTCCTGAATGGTTCCTGTGCACGGCTTCAGAAATTTGCTTCGCTCAACTGCCAACTGAGATGAAACTAGCACACAGGTTATACCATGAAAGGCCTAGTTAACGACGCCCCCATTTAGCAGGAAGCAGTTTGGAGAGAAATAACTGCGCCCATATTCCCAAAAAATGTTTATAAATGTTCTTTTACATTTAAAGGGGGATATGATATAGGTATGAATAATTTGCATTAGTATAGATTTTGCTTTATTGATAGAGATTTATGGTCAATTTTGTTATATGTATATGTATTTCTGATATTGATTAAGGTATTGTGATTGTTAGTTCATTATTAAAATGTAATGTATAATTAGGAAATATAGGTTGTTGATGGATAATCATAAATAATAGTCAAGTTTGTAGTCATGTTAGTTAATATTTTCTAGATGTGTAGATATATTTTAGATAGGCATTCTTCATATTTTTCAAAGATTATAGAATATGGCATTTTAAATGTTTTAATAACTTAGGACTTTTCATGACAATGAGACACTCTGCTCCTGGCAGCACCAATCTACTTCAAGGGGAAGATGGGCATCAAAGAGGATCCTTATGGAGTTTGATAGCCATTTGGGCAAGAAACTGTTCTTGCCTGGACTATTGCATAAACTGGACACAGAGAACCCGCAGAGAGAGGACTACTGAACTTGCCTAAGGTGAGATGATCTTTTGGGGTTCCTGATTCATGAAAGAGTCTGTGAGACATTCTGCAGGACACAACAGATAGTGACTGAACTGACTTTGAATTTTCCTGCTTTATGGAAATGTCTGCTGGATACCATGGGCCTGAAGGCTGAAGATGGATGCCCCAACGGTACAGAGGAACTTTGGGTGACTGTCCAGGCAGCGAGATGTCTCTGTCATTTCTAGAGTTTTAAAAGTTGCTTTTTTCTTGTTTGCTTAGGTAGTATTGTATCTTTCTGGAGTCTTTGATGGAGTTAAGAATAGTTAGTTATAGTTATTGTTTTCCTTAGTTATGATAAAGATTATTGTAACTTTTACTTGATAACTTTTGTTATATGTAATTTTGCTATGTTAAAGTTAAAGCCTTTTTTTTTGTTTAAACAGAAAAAGGGGAAATGATGGAGGAAGGTCATTGGCTAATAAAGGAACTGCCTTGGCCCATTTTATTGGTTAGAAGATAGGTGGGAGGAGTAAACAGAACAGAACGCTGGGAGGAAGAGGAAGTGAGGTCAGACTCAACAGCTCTCCTCTTGGGAGCAGACGCCTCAGAGAGACGCCATGCCCCACTCCCGGGATGAAGCTCCGACCCAGGACGGACATAGGCTAGAATCTTCCCGGTAAGACCGGTTCTCACAGATTATTAGAGATGGGTTGATCGGGATGTCAGAATTAGCCTGTAAGTGCTAGAGCTAAAGGGCCAAGCAGTGTTTAAAAGAATACAATGTCCGTGTAATTATTTTGGGGCATAAGCTAACCAGGTTGCCGGGGTGCTGGGGATGCAGCCCCGCCACTCTTATTACTACACCCAGCCATCATTAGAGAAGCTTCTTCCTGCTGCGGATGGGAACAAATACAAAGACCCACAGCCAGATATTATTTAGTGTGACAGATTTTGGAATACTTGGCCCTAAACACAATGTCTCCATCAAATCTCTCTAGCGCTTAGAGAATCCCACAGAAGAGGATGTAGAAAGCGTGTAAGAGCCATACGAAATGCCGGACACCAAAGAAACAAGGCCTTCTAAACACAATAGGACTGACTTACATATGAACTCACAGAGACTGTGGCAGCAAATACAAGGTCTGCATGGGTCTGTACCAGATGGGGTCCTAGAGCAGACAGAAGTAGACAGCCCCCCACCAGGTCCAATCAGAACTTAGTGCCAATTGATATCCACTTGCAAATGAAAAATTTGTAATCTCCAAGGGAATCTCATTGGGGAAAGAAAAACACTCTTAAGGGAGGGTGGGCTGTTAGGAATCCGGTTCTTGAATTTTCAGACCCCAATCGGGACATTTACCATAGTGAGAGAGACATGAGTGAACATGTAAAATATAAAATGGTTCCTATCTT